AGCCAGCGCGAAGTGCAACTTGAGGCGCCTGCGGAGGCGTCGGGTTTCCGCTTCGATCCAAGCTATTGAATATTTTCCTTATTCCTCCTATTTGCCATTTCCGCAAAGTCGGCACTTCCAAAGGTGAAACAGTGAATCTGCGACTGTCAGATACAGAAGTTAATCACTTGGCGATCTCCGTCTCTCTGTCTCGCTGACACACGAAAACATCGCTGGTGACTCACGGCATCGGAGAGTGGTACTTATTGCTTTTTCAGAGTTATCTCTTTGAACTCATGCTGCAAATATGCCGTTGAAAGTCTGCTCGAGCTTAGCTGACTCTCTGCTTCGATTTTAAATATGCGGTCTCTTTACTATCACTCTTTGACCACCAGAGCTTTAAATTTAGGAACTAGAATCTAATAGAGTAAGCAAAAGGGTTGTTTATTACTAGAACTTATGTCCTAGAACATGGAATTTTGGTATGTGTAATTCTTTTAATCTCTAGCTTGACTTCTGAAATTTTGGGGGCTATCACTAAAGCCATCGATGAGTTACAATGGTTCTGCCATCATACTTGCACTCACAGAGCTTTAGAATTTGGTATGCAGCTATTTGACCACGTTATCTACTAGTTTTACGAGTTTGGGGACTTGAGTATTGCTAAGATAAGACTGATAGTTAAATGCCTATCAAGTGGGTTTTGGCCATTACTCATCGATAGCACTCACGAAAAAACCTATAGCAACCCCATTTGTCAAAATAAATCCAGAGTTCTTTCGACACTGTCCCACTAAACAGTATCGTAATCTATCCGCTGTGCCAGTTTGATAAAATTCGGCTGTGGGCAAACGAAGTTACCCATAGGTAAGGTTATGAACTCGGGTCTTGCAGCAGCGTTCTACCATTAGTTCGGTCTATAAATAGCCAGCAAATGCATTTGCCCATAAATTTCACCAATGCAGCATATCGAATAATGCCCGACTTAATTACACATGGGGGTAGAAATGTGAGAGAGCTAGAGGGTGCAGGGGTGCAGACAGCTTGCAGACGACGCGACTCACAGTGGCACAAATGCACTTAAGTTTTCTTCGCTCAGGGCTCTGCTTTTCGGGGAGGAAGTCGTGGCATAAGGCACACATCACTGCCAGCGAAAAGAGAGGGGATCGAGGAGATTACTGGTACTATATGCGATTGAGCAACGGTCGCTGGTACTTTGTTATGATAGCAGTACCTACTCGATATGGTAAAATTATTCTACAAGGAACATATAGTAAACATATTTTATTAAAAAAAAACCATTATCAATTGATTTTCTAGAAAAAATCAATTAGGGTATTCAATTGCGTTGCAAAAGTGTAAACTTTGTAAGTTTGCCAGACGAGAATTGTGAACGCCTTCTATTTTAAAATATCGTTGCAGGAAATTGACGTACAAAATAACGCCAACTTTTAAATTTTTGTGAAAAGAAGGCTATGATATTTTCTGTCATTAAAACCCAACTTTTCAGTATATTTTTAGTATTTTAGATAAAATTCCTACCCATTATTAACCCCCTATTTCTACACAAGTACAACAGATTTGTATACATAGGCTGGGGTGTTGTAGGCCTTGAAAACTATTTTGTATGGAAATTGTTGTTGGAACTGCTTACACTTTTACACTTTTCAAACGATTGCAACGCAATTGAATACCCTAATTATTATGTTTTAAACAAATGTTCATTGTCTAGACTCTTAATAAAAGATTTACTCTTTAAGATTATATTACAAATTAAATTTACTTTGGGGTAATGGAAGTTCAATTATTCCTTATTTTGATCCTATCCTATGTATATACCCATTTTAAAAACATACAAAGATTGTTTGCATTCTCAACCGATAAGCCTGTATCTGCCGCATTTTCAGGTAAATCACAGCCTCTGCAACCCTTAGCCAGTGCTCACTGTAGGGCAATTGCAGACTAGCTCGCGCCAAAGCCTTGCAGCTGCCGCCTAGGACTCAGTCTCAGCCGAAGTCGCAGAATCCAAATCTCAACCAGAATCCTTCGCAGACGCAGACGGAGACGGAGACTCATTCGCTGGCTCAGTCAATGCTCATTCAGCTCTGGGGATAATTGCTGCCAAACGAAGTGACATTTCTCCCTGACAATCCTTTGTGCCGCTGCCTGGGATTTGGTCTCATTCTTCTCCGTCATCCGCTGTTGTAGTTGTTGGTCTTGTTCTTGTTAGTGCTGTAGTTGTAGTTGTAGTTGCAGTCATACTTGTACTCATAGTTGTTGTTGCTGTCATGCCGTGCAAATTCAGGCAGCTCGACAAACAGACGGAAGGACAGAAACAATTTATGTTTGTGGAGCGGTGACGAAGGAATTGAAACCACACTGACGAAAATGTTGGGGATTGAAAATTCTAAGACTTTTAGTCTTTAGTTGCATGATTAAAAAGATATATTTTTCTTAAAAATATTATTCTTAAGTTTTATTTACCATACCTTATGTCTTAAGTTAAAAAATTCCATATAAATTCAAGAAACTTTAGAAAAACTTTTTAAATTTGAAAAATTTTTCAAAAATGTAAGAACTTAATGTAACTTGCAATCACGCCATGAACTATTAATATACTTGAAATATCAAAGTTTTCAAAATGGATTTTTTTGAGACATTTAAAAATAATCCATTTTTTTCAGTGCCTTTTTATGGCAGCTGTGCCGGCTGAACTGAGTTGAGCTGTGAGGCTCGTGCATTTCGTTAACGTGACAAAAATACATTGATTACATTTTTTAGCTGCACTCGACTCCGGATCTGCGTTGTGGGCTCTAGTATTTTAGGATTCTAGGGTCTGGGCCCACGTCCGCACACTTGGCACATTTGTCAGGGCAGGCCCGCCATGTAAACATCTTGCACGTAGGACCCGGGTCCTTGTGCATCCCGGTTACATGGTATACAAAGTACTGAGTCGGAGTCCTCGTGTCGCACGGGGTCTTTGAACTGACAAATTACATTGACAACGAATGGGGGGAAATTCCTTTCGTGTGCACTCTGAACTCCCTTTACCCCCCAAAACTGTCTCTTTTTGTGAAGCTCCACACTGAGAAGTTTGGGGGTCAATGTCACGCCATTTCATATCAATAAAAAAGTTAAGCTTAGCTGTCAACAAACAAATAAAATAAATGTCAATAGAAAGCCAATTCATTGTTAGTTTTAAAGTTGGTGGAAGCTTTTATAACCCATACAATAGCTAGTCCGTTTTTTGTGTTGCATAAGAGCATTTCAACGGATATTTAATGGATATTTACTTTGCAGTTGGTAAAATAAAATATATTTATCATGATATGATTCCGCATAGTTTTTCAATACATTTTAGTTCCAATCTAAAAGAAACTTATGAAAACATAAAGGTTTTTTTAGAAATTGAGTATTATTTGTTTAGTGGACTTGGTTCATCGGTTGTTTTCAGTTTTAATTTGCTTACCTGGCTTTCCACCTCCCCCACACTCTTTATCCCAGCTCATCGCAACTGTTTTATCTACTTTCGCAATTTGGAAATTGCTTCAAATTGGCAACAGCAAACACATCGTGGGTTGCTCCTAATTGTTTTCACCAACTTGCCAGTGGGCGATAGATCTCTTAAGGCTTTAAAATGTTTGCACCAATTGTTCAATTGCTTAATTGCTGTCGATTGCTCATAATTTCATTGTTACAACAGCATATTTGTGTCGTACATACATATTTCCGTTTTATGGGCCTTCGGCGATCATGAATGGGCTTTATTTACTGGCCCTTAAATAGTTCAGGTAATCTTATCAGCCAACCAGAAGTGTTCAAACTTGCGCAAGCTGTCAAACAAATTTCGAAACGGAAATACCGAAGGGTTAAAATGGTATAGACGAAAAGATAACTGCCCTAAAATTGCGCCAAAATTCGCATTAAATCACAGCAACAATAACAAGAGAACGCAATCAAAGAAAATTAAATCTCAGGCAGCTGCGCATGCGTAGAAAATGAAAGAGAGGGGGAGAGATCGCACCTTTGAGCTACTGAACAGCTGGCTTAAACGAGAGAGGGAGAGACCGGGTGATAAGAAATAGCAACAAAAACATAAACCACCACCAACTACTACAACATCGAACTAAACAATGCTCTCCATTATGCGAAGCGTGTGTGCATTATGATAAAGTAAACAAAGAGAGAGAGGTGAGAGAGGAGAGAAAGAGAAGGAGTGCAGAGTACAGAGAGGGAGAAAGCATTAAAAAGTAGCCAGATTTACCTTAAAAATAGCTACAAATATTTTTAAAAATTTTCAAAAATTAATGAAGGAAAGAAGGAAAGGGAAATATAAGGTGGTATTAACTTATTAATATGATCTTTTGGAGTATCATAATACTCTTTTATCACAGTTTTAAAAGATACACTTGAGTACCATTACACCTTTGAATCTTCAATATCTGTAGATTTTTATTAAGTCGAAGAAACATTAAGTCTACATTATCTGTAGATTTTCATTATGACGAAGAAACAGAAAAGTATAGGACTATAAGTAAAAGACTGTACAGAACTAGAATTGATATATATTTTGAAATTTATTTTTCATATTTGCGGCTAAAATTAAGAAATGCTTAAGAATATCTTATGATGATCTCAGTAGGTTGCCATCTACACATCCACTAAATAGCCAATCTGTCAGCACTGGCTGGCTTACTCACCCAGGTAACTTGACTCCGACTCTCTGGCTCGCTCGTTCTCCCACCCTCGGAATCAGAAGTCTATAGCCCTCATTCGATTCCCAGCACTCGAAGAACGCAGACGCAACCGCTACGATCGTCGCGAGTTATTTCTGTTCGTTATTCAGTATTCGTATTCACACTCATCGTATTCGAATCGTTCGTTCGGGCCAACGTGTTTGTTAAGTGTCGCCTTGTGTTTACCGTTGTGCAGTGTTAAACTATTTACACTCTGTGTTGTGGGTGCCCCACCCCCAAACACCCAACCGCTGTCAAGTTTTGTGGTGACCAAAAATAATCAAATGACACGTGCTTGAAATATAAATTTTACTATCCATCAGTGGCGGGCAAAACAAGAAAAGCAGAAGCCAAACTTGGGATTACCTCGGCATTGTTTATACAAGAGAACGGTAAGTTTTGGCCACCATAAACAATAAACCATAAATCGTAAGCCGCATATGGAATGCCATCAAAACAGATAACTGTTTATTGTCCCCTTTGACCCCAATAAGCTTATCAATAAACACAAGTATTTAATACATTCCGCATACGCCCCTTGTAATTACACACGTTTTAATACACACATTCCCTCACAACTTATATGCCTCCGCCCATTTATTGAACTCACAGCCCATTGTTTTTATTTTTCTGACTTTCGAGGACTTTGCTAAGCTCGGTTTTATGACTCAGGAGCGTCCCAGAGTCGTCAGACCGCAAAATGACTTCTTTCTGCCGTTGTCGCCGCTTGTTATTTTGTTCGTTTTCGGTGCGGGTTTTCTCTGAATGTTCTTTATAACGTAGATCCCCCCATGAGTCACTTATGAGCTTGGGGACACCGAATGGATACATAACTGCGAGAGATATTTATAATTGGGGGAGGCAGTGGGTAAGGGTGACTGATCAGGTTGATGGTGAATGAAATGGGCTTGGGGTGGTGGTGACTAAGCCTCGGCTTCGGATAATATTAATTGGGTTAGGATAAGGCATATGGGTGTGTTTGCAGTGGGAATAGTCATACGTAGCTTGTTTTTTATAGATTACTGTCTTCATCATCTTAACTTAATTGGAAATTAAAGAAATTATGAATGTGTATTATAATTAATCATATTATTTTTTTACTCACCCGATATTTGGTTGGCGTCATTCTCAGGCATGCAGCAGTTTATTTTTAAAACGTTATATGTATGTTTGCAACGGAGGATCAAAATTCTAAGCTGCTTCGATCGTTATTTCTATCTAGTCTATTTCGAACCTGAAAATACTTCTAAAATGAATCTAAAAAGCATGATAAAAACTCATTTGTAGGAAAAACTTATAGAGAAAGAAGCTTAAGCCTTTAACTCCTATTACTTCCCCGATTTTAATCTCACCACAATCTTCCCGTTTCCCTGATTTTCCCCAATTTCAGTTTAGCCAAACCTAATTTTAATAATCAAGGGAAGACCGCATAATTGCACTGATCTAGTTCCAGTTTAAGAGCGTTTCTGCGGTTTCGGTTGGCTCCATTAGAGTGCTAAACACGGGCCATTACACCGGTCACTAGGAAAGGTGTTATTATCCCCAGACTGGGAAACCAGTCGGGACCGGAGTCACTCACCTGTTGCCGCAAAGAGATCGATATCAATGACAATTGGTGTCGACGACAGCAGCAACATACAGATAATATCAACTCTGATATGTGGCTACCGTTAGATGGGAAATGCCAAAGCAATGATGATTGCCTAATTGAATGGGATTAAAGTTTAATGTGGCTTAGTTTATTGATTTTCCGTCGAAGAACAATGAAATGTCAGAGAATGCCGCAAATGGAGCAGTTCCATTGAAATCGTAATCCAATCCAAACCTTTTTTTGTTCCCTCATATGTCAGGTTGACATTTGAAACAATTGCTGATTATATTGAACAGTTTATGGTTAGCGAGACTTGAATAATTGCTCGCTTTTAATGCAAAATCAATTCAACTCGTTCATTCATTTTTTACATAATTAAATGATTGTTTAAAACTGATTTATTATTTAATTGTTTGCCACTCGAACGACAACAATTAATTATGCAATAACAAAAAGATGGGAAATAAATAAATAATAATTTCATTATAATCAATGCAACAGCTGCCAATGGGTGAGAAAGATAGTGGGGTGGGGTGGTGTGTGGTGAGCAATTAAAATTTATTACGCTTATTTTGCATTTATTCCATTTTAATTTGTCGCTTAAATGTCAAAACTATTAAAATAATTATGGCCAATGGCGGATTAATCAATGGGCGTTTTGGCTTGGCCTCTTCAATCGATTTTGATCTGGTTGGGCCTTAACTTTCGGTTAATTAAGCGAGGTTACGAATGGGGAAATTTACCTGGCGCTTTTCCAACTTTCCCCCACCGGCCTCGTGTTCAATTTGTTCGGCTGACCCCATTGAGCCAAGTTCAGTTAACACTTAACCACCCCGCCCATTAACTTAATTATGATGATTAACATTTTCAGTGTAATTTCTGTTTTCGTTCGGCGTTTCCACTTGAATTTTACGATGCAATTTCCATTATTGAGACTTTTTAAGCTGACCAGAACTTAAATATATTATTCAATTCCTCTCTCCATCTCTCTTTTATTTTTCTTTTGGTTTATTCATTATGAAATGTTTACAGATAACGAACCATTATCATATCTTTAAAGCGATATGGCAAAGAGTTCCGTTGTTTTCTTTCTCTGTTTGTGAGTTTGAACTGCATAAATTATGCGCTGCTGCTCTTTTTATATTCCCAAATTAATTGGCAGATTGTCACAGACTTAAAAAATTCTATTTGGCCAAAACTTGTTCTGCTGACAACTCTATTAGCCATTTGCATATGAAATTGGTATGCCTTTTGTGCCTAATTGGCCGGCAAAAGCACAACGAACTCCTGAAATTAATTTTCTTAGATGCGATCCCTTAATGGAATTAAATTTACATCCATTTTTACACTATTCAACACACCCAATTAAGTGCAATTTGCGGCTGGCATTGTTGTTGCTCGGGGGCATTCGTAATGAGGCGCACTCATCTTGGTTATTTCTCCTCGTGGAAACCGGATTGTAAGCTAAATATTTTTACATTATTTTGCCTTTGCCTACTAATGAGCGCCGTCTATTGGAATTACTCATGGCTGGCCATAAATATCGATTAAGGGGCGGTTTTTCAATCAATTTAAACGTTGTCCGGGGGGGCGGGGGGTGGTAATGAGGCAGACGGCCAACGAAAAGTCCGTGGGTCAAGGGCGGTGGGTCTGGGTCCTGGAATTCCTTGTTGGCTGGCTTCGCTTACTAATCCAATTAGAATTACGCCGCCGGCAGGCAGGTGGGTCGCCTTTGTAGGTGTTCTAATTAAATTTTCGCTAGTCAGGCGGTTTCTATTCCTGTGAACAGAAATTAAATTAATATTTCGTCTAAAATTCCAGACATTAGTCTTTCTTAAATAGAATGGAAAGCAAGGTTGTATTCGTTCCTAGGAATTCATTGTTCGGATGGTTAATAAATGATGAAACTGAGTTGTGTTTAAAACAAAAGATAATCATATTTTTCAGAGTAATAAAACATTTTAACTAGTATAACTGGCACTGTTGTTTAGCTTTTTCATAATTTCCTATAACTACTAATCCGCAAGATTACCTTTAATAACAAGATTATTTCACTAATTTGTTGACCAGTGTACTTTTGATACTTTACAATACTGTATTCGGTCACAGATCATCAAAGACTCTCACCTGGTGGGAAACCTGAATGATTTTTAGCCGAGACTCAAGATCTCTACTTTTGTAACGGAAATGTTAAGATTCTGTTAACATTTGAACAAATAATAAATTACAGCTAAATTATATTTTCTACGTTAATATCTCCAAAGACCAAGATATAAACTACTTAAAGCTATATTAGCACCTCTTTTATGCCATATTTCATTTGATTTCAACTCTAGCTATATGACAACAGAAACTTATAATTATTTTCGGCATAAATTAACAGCGGTTAACAGTGCGCAAAGTCATCAATATAAATATATTAACAAAAATTAAATTAAGTATATTTTTTGAGCAGGGTGGTATTATTTAGAGCTATCTACGGCGGTCACACTTTCCGATAGGTATCGATGAACGATAGGCCCAGATAGGCTCCTGAAATCGATACACGATAGGTTTTCAGCTGCGCGAACGACTCATCAACGTTTTTTCCCGTCCCGAAGAGTTTAAAAAGAATTTTCACGTTCGCGGAGTGCTTAAATCGAGGTGAAAAATCGGGTTGGCTTTTCCGGGCGGCGATCGCCACTGGGAGTTGGAAAATGCGAAAGTGCGGCGCTGAGAAGTGGAATTCGGTCGATTGCCGCACGACGACGTCATCCTCAGTCACAAACACACACACACACACACGTAAATAACCAGGTGTGCAGGGAGAATTCAAATTCGTTGAGATTGTTGTAAATTATGAAAGCAATTTATCAAGCGGAAACTGGAAATCGAAAGAGCTGGAAAAAAGGGGAAGCAAAAGGAGGAAGAACGGCGGAAACAACAACAATTGCTGCAGAGGAAGAGAGAGAGCGCGAGAGATAAACGCGCCTCGATCAACGAATACATAAAGAGTGCGAGAGAGAGAGGGAGACAGAACAGCCGAGGGCACATAATTATCTCTATTTTTACTGGATATCTGTTGCTTGTTTTGACCTTTTGCAACTATTCCCTCGAGCATTTCTGTGTAAGTACGATAATTAAATTACGAATAAAAAGCAAAACGCTTTAATTGCAAGCTCATAATATACCAAAGAAAAAACGGTTCCAAGGCAACAACAGCAACAACAACAGTCAGGGTTAAGTGCCAAAATATTAACCATAAGTGTTGGATTTTCCACCAACTAACCAACTAAGCATTTTTATCTTATAGATAGTTTAGCTAAAATAGACCCCTTGTATTTCTACTTTTTATCTGCTAAGGACGCCCACATATTATTCACATTCATTCACTAAATTCGCTCAAAACTTTCCTTTATTATCGTACAATTATGGTTTTTTTTTATTTGGCCTGTCATGCGTGCGACAAATATTAAAAAAAAGACACGAGGAAAAGATATATAGTAGGTGCCGACGACATATCCGCCGAGCGACAATCTAAAATTCTACCAAAATAAACACACACGAGCCAGCTGAATGGCCTCCCACCGCCCACTTATGCGCCCCCGTGCCACGCCCACTGACCATGTTATGGTTTCATTTTCCATTTTTCAAAACAACACCACACAAAATAATGACTTTCCTATAATAATTTTGTGGATTTCGGCCTAATTGTTTGTATTTTCAGCAAACGTTTGCCATTCATTGGTGCACAGAGAGAAATTATGTAGTTTTTTTCAATAGATAAATGTTTTGAAGGCATTACTGAAAATAATAACTCAA